TCTCACACTAACTAAAGTGTTCTGATTGGTTGAGATGTGCGTTTGTGTGAGTGTGACTGTGGATACATGCATCATGCAAGATAGTTTGGATTTATTTTGCTTGATGTTTAAGATATTTGTCAGTTAGATTTCTGCTGCCACTCCAGTGCAATGAGGTGAATGGGGTTAAATTTGTGGTGCTCGCAGCAATTACAAAGTTTTCCTGTGTTTAAAGAATCAGTGTCCCTGCTCCTCAGAATAATCTAATTAGAGAATTGTCTCTGAAAGTCACATTGCTCGGGCTCCCTGATAGCTCACATGGTAGAGCTGGCGCCCAATGTACCAAGGTTGATACCTTCCTGCTGCAGCCATGGGTTCCAATCCGACCTGTGGCCATTTACTGCGTGTCATCCCTCTCCTTGTCCATCTTCAGCTGTCCTTTCAAATAAAGACATAAAGCCCCCAAATATATATATATATATATACCAGAAAAGCACATTGCTTTGAATTTTCCAAATGTCCTTTAGAAACAAAACCCCATTAACCTGCATTGTATTAGGAAGGATGCAGACATCTCTGGGTTTGTTATTTCAAAACCTGCACAAATAAAACCAAAACAATCTGCATGGCATATACCACTAGAGGCTGCTAAGAAAATATGGGTTTTTTGTAATATAGGTGAACCAACCATTTAAGACACAGCACAAGTATATAGGCTTCAATAACTGCGGTTTATCCACTTTCTCTTTTCTCTTTTCCGTTTGTCTCCAGCAATCTGCTCAAAACAATGACGATTTTCTTTTTGTCTTTCTTTCTCACTCTTTCCTTCTCACACCCCCACACACAAACGCCATCTCCACCCTTGACCTCGCAGTGAAAAGTTAGTGCACCAGAGGTTGAACTCTCCCAGATCTGCCTCAGCCACAAATGCTGGGAAAGTGCCCCTGACATATGTATATGTGTGCATGCGAGTGTGTGTGAGCGTGGCAACACTTGGGGTGTCATGAATAGGAGAGATTTGACCCTCAACCTCCTGACCTGTCCACACAAACAGCCCCCTTTAACCCGGCTCCACTATTGTCAGCCATGACTGCCTTCGTTTATTCACAGAGCCCACCAAAAGAGTCAAAATTCATTATATACCACTTTGCTTATTATTTTCCACCCACATTTAGGCCTCTATGCCTCTCCTCATTTCTTCTCCTCTTTTTGCTTTTTTCACAGCCTCTGTCCTGTAGACCACAACTTCTGATCTTGAATTTTCACTTGAGTGCTGAGCTGAACACATTTCCATCTTTAAACTCAATATGGACTTACCTAACTCAATTTTCAGCTAAAAATGCCAAAATAAATTAATGCCTCACCTTAAATGCCAACAATTCTTTTGGGTAAATTAGCAGTTTTTAGCATTCACTAAAAATTTCACTTAAAATTATTTTTCCCAAACTGCTCCAATATTCATTACTTATTCTTAGAAAGTGAACGTGTTCTTCTTCTGACATAAGTGAGATTTAGATCTAACTGTGCATTATATATATACAGTATGAGTGTGGACATTGAACATGATTGAACATGATTTGACACTTTTTCTATCATTTAGAGAGTGATATTGTGTCTAATCTAATTAGATTAGATAATTCAAAGTCATTTTTGACAATGCTCTCTACAAACAAGTAATATGATTAAAACTCGGATATATCCAGTAATGAGCTTGAATCTTGTATTGCTTCATTTCTTTTGAACAGCCCTGACAACAGCTGTCAAAAGAGTTTCTCAAACTGGGCTCCAGGGGTTATTGAAGAGGTTCAAGGTGGTCCCCGGCAGGCAAACCTGAGCTGAACACTTGTGTTGATCCAATGTGTTAAGGAACACAATGGGAAGTGGGGACTGGAGATGCAGTGAAGTATATATCAGTTATGACCTCATTAGTGAGATACTATTAAATTAAAAGGAACCTACGTAAGATTGACAAATACCAGTGGATATTTATTTAAGGGAGTCCATTTTCCATCCATTTCTGGTTGGCATATTTCTTTTCTTTGTGACTGTGACTGCGACTGTGCCTTGTTCCTTTTGTAAGTGACCCAGAACACATTTAATCCCATGGCCTCATCTGTTCACAACTTTGAAAGTCACCCCATTCCTAAGTCCAGTGTGCCTGTCTTCTCCCACATCCTACACTCATGCATGGATTATATTGGAACCCAACCCAAATTCTGACCCTTTTATTTACTGAGGAACTAATCTCTGTTTTTTTAGCTCTTTCTCAACAATGGAAATCAACAGCACCTCTTCTCAGACCACTCAAGGCTAGAGGGCTGTGATAAATAAAGCCAGAGTGCAAATGTAAAATGACAAATTACAAGTTGTATTTAAAATGTCCTCGTGGCTGAATACCCGAAATTTGTCATGACTCCACTGACTCAGTGATGCCCCCCCCCCACCACCGCCAACATCCCAAGAATTCCAATGAATATTAGATTGTATGTCCGTCCCATTGATCATTGTTTCACAGATCAAGCCTCCGGTGTTTCCTACTTTAAACTCATTACTTAACCCTTCTTATGGGAGACTATACCCATGAGGCCCTGCTGCCACTGTGGCATTCCACCAGACTCCCCATGCTTCACACCACCCAACCCCACCTTTATAAACAAGAGCCTATTATCTTAAATCATTTGAAGGATTTAAGGTTATTTAATTTTCATTTACAGCCCAGGGTTGTTGTTCTCTTTATGCTATTCATAAAACAAACTAAATTTAAAAAATATTAACTGCAAAATTGATTATATATATATATATAT